CGCCTCTGGGCGCAGCGTGTCTCTATCAGGATAAATTGTCCTCCAAGAAGGGAGGATTGGCATCAGTGAAGATTTTTGAAGCCACTGCTCGTAAAAAGTCAAAGCAGACGATACTGTAAACCATACTGAAAGCCACGAGAGAATTTCACTTAAACTAAGATTTTGCCAGCGTTTCCTTAGCTGTAGCAGGAGTTGAACAAGCAGTCTCCCCCGGATACACAGATATTATCATATATACATATATTATCCATAATGGCACTTAACAGGACTTAGATGTACTTGTGATCTTTTTTTTTTTTGTACTTGTGATCTGTGGAGCTGCATATGTAATGTAAAGCTATGTTTACATTGCTACACCTTGTACTGTAATGCCAGGAAAGAAGGGTGACTCCGGAATTAAAGCAAGTGGAATTAAAGGCACCCCGGCTGATTTGCAGCAGGCTTGTTCGGGCCAGGATCTGCACTGGACACCGATGGGAAGGCGCGTCTCCTAGCTAGCTCAAGTAGAGACGAACGGTTGCTCACTATTTCCATTTTCCGAAGTGGCAGAGCGCTCTCACATCACTAAAAGGCTCCTGATTTACGCTGCACGGGTAAAAAGGGAATCTCCATCCCATGAAAAATCTGATGTCCCTGGAAACAATTAGAGCAACTGGGAAAGTCAAAATGCCGATCCGTTCCAGCCCGGCCCAGGGCTCAGGTGCTCTCCTGTCTGGGCTTGCTGCCCCCGTGCCTTTGGTGGGCTGCGCACCCCTCCCACCTCGCTGCGCTCGGACCCCTCCCAGCCTGCCGCTCCGCGGATTTCCAGCGTTCGTCGGACGAGAAAGAGCCGCAGAACCTGCCCTCGAGTTCCCCGGTGCCAACAGCCAGTCTCGTTCTCTAAAGAATCAAAAGGATTTTTACCTTTTTCACCACAAACGTTTTCCACCAGGAAATATTTTAGCATTTTTAATTAAAAGTGCCATTTCTGGAGAAGATTTAAACCAGTAACACAGCAGTAAGAAAGCGTCATACAAACCAACGCTGAATAGAGAAGAAGCTTTTAAAAATAAATCTTCTACAGACTGTCCAGTGCAATGTAAAAAAATTCATCATCACACACACATATGATAAAATGACATTTATCTTTCTTCAACTGCACAAATTGATTTACTCGCCATTACTCATGGATTCTTTTCAGGTTCTAAGGGCAACATAAAGGGATCATTTTGCCCTTGAGTTTGGCACCCACTGATTTTACCCAGCGCCTGCTGTCTCTGGATATAAACACCTGCCCCACTACTGAGCGACAATACAGTATTTAACACGTTATTTTTTGGAAGCTGGATGTACACAGAAGTATTAGCAAACACACTTCTGCATATAACGTTATGGATGTGCATGTACAGAAACGCCATTTCCAAAGTTGCGTGGCTAATTTAGGCATTAACGAGTCACACACGCTTCAGATACAACATCTGCGAACCGAAATGGAGATGCAGGGAATACACACGTAATGGAGCGCCCGAGGATTATTTTTCTCAAATCAAACAATACTCTTGGAAGTTCCTCAGTGATATCTGAAGACAGATATCTGAAGAGAAAATATAGCTGATACTTGAGTCTATTTAATAAAAAATAAACATTCTACCATAAATTAACATTAAGATCACCTACGCAGTCAACCATTAGTCATGCCAAAAACATGCACTCTGGTGAATTTTACCACTTTTTCCTCTCATAATCAGCACACATTGCTTTTCCTACAAAGTTGGCTTTTAACATTGGCCTAGAATGAAACGTATGCAGCAGCATACAGGTTTTTACATACATGAAAAGCAGCAAAGGGTAAAATTGATATTCACTCTTAAATTCCGTATTTCTTCAGCCAAGTGCCAATTTGTGCAGCATTAACATTGCAGTAACGGCTTTTGCATATTCATTTTTCTAGAAACAATAGTCCTAACTTTGCAATAACAAAGGTATTGATGTATCAAGATGACTAGAACTCATCCTTAATATCCTCCACTACTGGAATTCTATTTGGCAACACCAAATCCTTTCCTATACCCAGGTTGCTGTCTTTATTGTTCATTTTAAAAAGATGACAATTAAAATCAAGCATACTATTTTGGCACTCCAGTGGAATTCTTCAATTTTTTTTTTTTTTATTCCAAACCAAATGCGTTAAGTAAAAGTATTTAAAATTTCTTAACTTTTCAGTGTAGCAAACAGGAAAAAAAAATGAGTTCAACCAAGAAAAACAAACACAGAGAGACCTCCCCTCCCAAAAGGTCTTTTGGCAGTTGCAGAGAACCTGCAGCCCGTTTCCTCTGCACCTGAGCCCTCCCTCTGGGCAGCTCTCCAGGGTCTCCCTGGCGCTCCCAAACGCTCTGGAATGGCATCTGCAGCGTAAATAAATGTCAGCACTTAGGTTATTGTAAATTATTTACAGTAAACTCACATAAGGCTATAGGGCACTTTAAGGCCTTGTTAAAACTGCAATAATTATGCCCAGAAGCTCAACTGTGGGAAGAAAAATACCATGACCTGAAACATGGAAGACAACTTGCTTTCACTTTACTAAGGAATTCCCTGTTGAGCAGAGAGCAAACCTGGAATGATTATCCCACAAGAAAAACGTTCAAGTAGATCATGTAGCAAAAAGATGATGTTTAATGATGAAAAACATGGAATGTGCTTGTTACCGTGTCTGACACCAAGATTAATACTATAGATGTGTTACCTAGCGATGGTCACCGAACCAAGGAAAAATTTCCTCAAAACATCCTCAGCATCTTGGCCTGTTGGACGGCACAGCGATGGTCATCAGAACCCAGATTGGACAATCTTCACTTAGACAGCAAGAACTATATTGCATTGGCAAGGAAAAAGCGTTTCCATCCAATTTCTGTAACTATGCAATTGCCGGTCAACAAATCACAGACGGACTTTTAGACGTATTTGTATATTCTAAAAATATTGTGTAGACAATTTTAGAATGTAAACAAACCCCAAACCATTTCAAAATCTGTTTTTCAACTGCTAGTCTAAATACATTTAGTGATGTAAAATAGCAAATAATTAAGACTATATTTACGTTCTAAAAAATCCCAATTTAGAGTTACTTGAATTTTTCAGAGACCAGTTTTGAATCTCGTTTTAAGAGTAAGTGTTGATGATCTGTCCTTTCTGAAAAATATTTCAACTGTTAATCGTAATTTTAACCATCTCATTTACAATGAGAAAAAGCCACTCAAAAAAGATCAGAACAATCTATCTTATTTGTAATCATATGAGTATATGAATAAATGAATAAAATAGGTTAGGAAAAGAAAAAAGTGAAATGCAAGTCTTCAACCTTGCTAGGTCAAATCCTTAGCTGTGCTGCAGTATCTCAGGTTGTCCGAGAAAGTTTATGAAAATAGCGGCGAGCTGGAAGAAACACAATTGGGCAAAAGGAGCAGCTGAAATTTGTTAGGATTTCCGATCACACAAAACCGTACTGAGAAGTCATTTAACATCAGCACCTGCTGGCGTCTACGATCAGGACGTTTGCAGTGCAAAGAACATACGCGTTAATGAAGTAACCAAGGCAGACACCGGACGCCTGACCTACTGCAGACTCTGTTCACGCCAGTCTAGAACAGCTCGATCTATGGGGCCCTGGAAAGCACCGTTCTGCGCTAGAAGGTGTGAGAGTTCACACAAGCAACTTATTTATGCTGGTCTGCATCACAAGGTCTACAAAGGAAAACGAAGAAGGTTTTAGCAGGTCTAACTGTAATCTACCCGCTATTAGTTGTCAAATTTGCAACTGTTCATCTGATTGATGAACATCTAATTGATGTTCATCTAATTGATGAACAGTCATCTAAATGATAAGGAGTCAAATAGTCAAACTATACAAATAAACCACATTGAACTGCTCAATATTGTAATGAAAAACAGAATCTCGGCCCCAACTTTTCAAACGGGGGTGGAAAGCTACATAACAACGATGTCCAGAGGTCTGGGATATCCAACAGTGCTGACTTGTAAGTTGAAGATCCATCAAGGACAGTAGTATTTCTGGGAGAAACTTCTGCAAATCCAGAGGGAACACAGTAGACTTCTCTCCTTGTTTATACCAAGTGCCCACTTACAATTTTTATGGTAATGTAGCTGCTTGACCGCAGCTGCAATTTCAAAGCCATGGTGTTACCACCACTTTGAACACTATCACAAAGACAAAGATTCAGCTGAGGTGAGACTCTATTGCAAGAAAATAATCCCTTTCAGGGGAGGGGAAAGGAATTTTGACTTAGGTGCTCAAACAGTTCATCAGTTTTAGGCAGACATTCTACAGAATTTCACGCTGTTTTAAAATCCGAGTGTGAGACAACGTTTTACAGAAAAGAAAGATAGAAAGTATTATTTTGTATTATTTCCAGTAGAAATGATAGCTCTGATCAAAACAGAAAAAAAATTCTCTCATATAAGTTCTCTATGAAAACCATACATGTTCTCTATGAAAACCGTAACTACAGATAAGCTTAAATACACCTGTTGATCGAGACAAGAAACTCCGTGTTATTTATGCACAATGAAAAACAGTTTAAAACCAGTTTCTATTGGGATACCTGTTGGCACATCATCCATCGGGAGTTCCTTTTTATCTCACCTGGGAAACTGATTGTCTACAGACACTTTTGTCTGCTCAAAAAACATGCCAAGCATACACGCATTTTCATCATAAAATAGTGAATTATAATAACTTGAGTTCACCCCACTGCCTAGTCAACCAGTGGGTCGTTGTGTTTTGGTTTTTTTTAAATACTGCAGGCCATATGAAGTATCTTCACTAAATATCCAAGGACTTCATGATGTACGTTTGTCTTGCCACTTGTCCCCTTACATTTTCTGTAATTAAGGAGTATCAGTGATTTGTCCTTGCGCATGCTGAAACAGTCTTCTTACAGTTTCTTATGGCCCACAGGAAGGCGGACCCTCCCAAGCAGATGGAACGGGAGGGTGCTGCATCACGACAACGCGATCATCATGACTGATACAAGCACTGCAACGTTGACTGTCCGCCTGCTGCCATCCGACGTTCTCCGGGCATGCAATACGGCAAATATTGCATTTGTGTGGTTGGTTGGTATTTCTACATTGCAAATCATGCCTTCACAGCAAGAAACACATTTCTGTGGAGAAAGTGGAGATCACTGGACATAGGATAATTCAGCAGTGGCTTTTGAGAGATATACGTTCTTTCAACTGGTTGCAAAGGTTACAGCTAAACAGTCTAATGGCTTCCACCTGGCAGCCTGACCCAAGCAGATGGAGCATATACGCTACAACTTCTCTTCCAAATTCTGCACCACGGCCTTCCTAGGGTAACTCACCACCTAGTGCTGTCACTGGGCTTAGAAACTGCGATGTGATGTAATGCAGCCACCTTAGCTGCACCGACAAGTTCCCTCACATTGCAGAGAACAGAGAAAACTTTCCATCACTTTCCCCTTCTTACACGACCAAAAAAATGTATTTGAATGTTTCAAGTTTCACCTTTTTAAGCCAAAGAATTCTGACTGTAAAAACTCTGTTCCCATTCATTTTTTCCCTCAAGCTTTTGTATTCAGCGTAGCTTTGCATGCTGAACTTCAGACTTTCTTTTTGCCGTTTTCTAGTGCCACAGAGCCACTGTCACAGCTGACTTTCAGGAGGGAATCTGGAAATAATTTTCCTTACTTGACACTCCGTACTGGAAAAGCCAAGAGAATGCCAATTTTTATCTAATGCAAAGTCACAAGAACTCTTATAAGATAAAATGCAGCAGAAGGCAGGCTGCATAGTTATTTCATGCCCTCAGTGCACCAAAACCTATTGAAATCAATGGAAGTCGATTCAGAAAACATACAGACTCTTTTATATTTAACACATATGTTGTCTGCTTCGTCTTTGGTGTCTGACAAGTTTCATGTTAAAAATAACATAACTAACTTTCTCAACTGTTAAGGAATTAGGGGATAATACCTTACTGCAGTGAGTAATACGTTGGGATACACCTGATTATTAAGAATAAACTTTTTACCTAGCATCCCAGGGATGAGAGAAGGCAGCAGTTCTAGTTTTTTGTCATGGAACAAACACTCAGCTGTATCATGCTCAAGAGCGTGGCCTTCGTGGACAAACACAGTCCTGCTTCGCGTACTGTGCGGTGTCACCCAAGCGATGTCATGCAAAGACGTGACTGGAGTGCCCAGTCGGGCTTGCCCAAGGGCTGACAGTGGCACAGCTGCAGGTTGCGTTGCCCACCTGGGCACCCTACTCAGAACTCAGAAACCAAGGCCCACGCACACGCGAGCAATGCCCCAAAACGCTCAGGTGTTTCTTTCGAAGTTGTTATTGCATCCTGCCACACGGCAGCACAAATAGGAAAGTGGGAGGAAGGGGGCAGTCATGCTTCTGGTGCAGAAATTTGGCTTCTGTTGTTAAATACTGGAGAGCGTACCTTGGCACATCCTCTCCAGCTCAGCA